CTGGGATGCCCAGTTGCTAGGGAGCTCATGCATCATGGGATGCAGGGCAGAGGGAAAGACCCAGGCGGAGAGGACGGGTGGGAGGGGAAGGGAGAGTTGGGAGGAAGGTCTAACCAAATCGCTACAGCAGGCACAGAGCTCTGGTGTAGCTCAGAAGGGGGCAGGGGGCAGGGCAGGGGAGCACTGGGCGCCTGGCCGCAGCTCTCTCCCCAAGTCACTGGGAAGCAGGGGAGGCTGGAAGCTGGCTCAGGGCCTGGGAGACAGACAGGGCTTGTCCCAGACCCCGAAGGGACAGTGGAGAGGAGGGGAAGGCAGACATCATGCTACCCTTCCCATTCCCACGCCTGGGGCCGACACCGCCAATCGGGATTATAGAATCGGGATTACACTGCCCTCTCCCACCAAGCCCAGGCCAAACCTCAGATCCTCTGCACAGCCTCCACCAGCCACTCCTGACTCAGCAGGGCTGAGGCATCTTGTAATCCAGTTGCCAGCACTGGTCTAGAACCTGAGGTCTGTGTTCCGAGGGGCTGATCTGTGGGAGCTGTGTGAGTGTCAGTGAGTCTGTGGGAAGACCTCTTCCTGCCTGAGCCTGGAGGGAGCACTCAGAAATGTGCTGTGGACGGTGAGGGGGCAGGAAACGATGTCACAACAGAAATGATGAGATGCCTCGGAATTCTTTAGCCTGGTGATAACGGGGGAGACAGTGTGTGGCCTTAACACTCAGGGAAGGAAAGTGAGCCTTGGGCAGAACCACAGAAAAAGGGAAGTCTGAAGTCAGCAGTCGAAAGGCAGAATGCTGTCCTGGGAGGTAGTGAGGTCCCCGTCCCTGGAGGTGTGCAAGAAGAGGGTGGAGATGTCTTGGCAGGGATCTTGCAGAAGATATCCAAGCTACAGTTCTGGGTGGGGAGAGAAGAACCGGGTGATCTTGGGGGCTCCTTCCAGCGCTGGGAGCCAGGGAGTTGGTGGAGAACAGGGAAGTGATGGGCTTGTGAGCAGAGACAGGCAAAGGGACTCTGGTGTGTATAAGTGTGTGTGTGTGTGTGTGTGTGTGTGTGTGTGTGTGTGTGTGTGTGTTCCTGGGGGCTTAGAAGGTGGGGAGTTGGGAAGGCAAACGGCGGGGGTGGGGAGGGAGGCAGGGAGAGTCTAGAATCATCTTAGCAGTGGAACTGGGAAGAGGCAGTTCCTGGCCAGCTGCCCTGTCTCTTCTGGGGAAACCATGATGCCGAGGCCCGGGAGGGCGTGAGCAGCTCTGCTGGACCGACAGCCCCAACCACCCAGTTCTTGTTCAGAATGTCATGCCTGTGCGGTGTGACTGTGGGTGATACTCCGGGCCTCCCAGACATTCGGTCCAACAGCTGGGGAGAGCGCGGACCCCGCCAGCTGGGCCATTCTCGGGTCCAGTGTCCGCAGCCCACTGTTGGCCGGAGCAGGAGCAGGGACAACTCCATCGACCGGACGAGGGGCTGCGAGGAGGTGCCAAGTTCTCAAGGACGTGGTGACCCAGTGTCCGTGGGCCCCTGGGCTCTGCCCACCTCTCCCCCAGATTTGCTTCTGCCTCCTTGTTGCCTAAATCCTCACTTTCTTGGCACCAGGTCCCGGAGGCTGTGAGGAGAGGGCCCAGGCCCAGGGCTGCGGGAGTCCGGTGGGCCGAGGAGGGGGCCGGGCACGGGTGTTCCTTTGGTCTCTAGTGCAGACGGCAGCCTGGGTGCAGAGCCCACGGCCCCACCCCGGAATCCAGGCGGGGCACATCAGTCCATATTTTCGTCATTTTGTTTTGTTAAAAAAATAGCTATTTTCCCCTGGCCCTTCTCCTGGCCACTCATGATGGCCTCACCTCCTACCCCTGGACCCAGGAGCAGAGGTGCCGGGGGGAGGAGGGCATTGGGTACTGGGCAGTGGTGGGCAGGGTGACTCCTCAGGCTTCAGGCCACGCCCTCTACTGGATGCCCCGGAAGAGGCACATGGCGAAGATCATGGCGAAAAGCTGCACAGAAAGTAGGAGTTGGCTAGTTAGGCCGGGCCCCCAGCCTCCCACGGGGCCGCCCAGCCTGAGGGGAAGGGGCTAACCCATGGGGGGTCTGCCCCAAACCCTGAGTGTGCCTTGCTTCTGGGGAGGAGCCACGGAAGTGGGCCTTCACTTACCTCGATGGCCAGCACCCCTATGGCGAGGGCTCCGGCCAGGTAGACATAGGTTTCGAAGGCGTTGAGGATCACTGTGTAACAGCCCTGGGGAAAGGACCAGAGGTGAATCCACAGCCCGAGGGATAGTCAGGGGTCAGGGGTCAGGGGTCAGGGACCAGGGCTGTGAAGCCGGGAAACTGGCATATGGCCCAAAGCTCAGGCAGTGCTGTTGGCATGGAGCAAGGCTTCCACTCCTGAAGGCTGCCCTCCCTCCCTCTGTGCCCCTCTGAGCACATCCCGGCTGGTGGAAAGGGTCTGAGCGCAGAGTTGGGGGGGTTACCCCCTGCGTCTCTGGGTGTCATTGCAAGACAATCCTCCCCCCGTCTCGCCACCCCCCTCCCCCGCGAGGGGACAGAAGCAGTAAGTCCTTCCTATGCATGAAGCTGACTTCGACACGGCTCACCCAGGGGACCTTGTCCAGCAGAGAGAAGACATCCTGCCCCCCTCTGCTGTGGGCGGTGCACCTGGGGCCTTCACTGCTCATCTCCCCTCCATCTGGCTCGGCACCAAGGCCCTTTGGGTCCCTGGACTGAACCAACTGGGCTGGCCAATAGAGGCCCCCGATACTGAGCAGCCGGAACACCCTCATGGCCCCCATTCCCCAGGGAGAACTGGGTGTGGGTTTCCATTGCTCTTCCAGCATCCTCAGCATGAACCTGCTGGCCCTGCATAGTGTGGCCCTCCTGAGGCCCTCACCTTGAGCTAGTCTTGCCCTATTCACCGTGCTCCAGCCCTACAGGCCTTCTCTTGGGTCCGGGAACACACCATGCTCCCTCCCACCCCAGGGCCTTTGCACGTGCTGCTGCTCTTGCTCTCTGGCTGCATTGCTTTTCCCTTTCCAGAAGGATAAGGGGTAGCACTTTGTTTCAAGGTCACAGAGCGCCCACACTCACAACCCACCACAAAGCAGATGGGGACAGTGGGGATAAGGCAGGGAAACAGCGATGCTGAGGGGAGAGAAGACCTACGGTCACCTGGACAAATGGGGAATATGGATGGTTTCCTTTCGGTGGTCACCACACTGGCCTGGAGTCAAGGTCTAGCAAGGTCACCATCTATTGGGAGACCCTCTGAGTTGTTTCCAGCAGGACTCACTCCTGACTCTTGGGTGACTGTCTTGACCCAGGGACGGCTGAGGAATGAGCTGGAGAAGCTGTCACAGGGGTTCGAATCATATCCATGGGGGGTCCAAGTATTCAACCTGGGTTACCTTTTTTGAGATTTTCTGATTTCTCTTCATTGGAATTCAACGGTGAACAGGGCTGGCGGACTAACTCAACACCCATAGGCACGTGCCCTCTGCCTTGGCTCCGGGTGGCCATGTGACTAAGTCCTAAGCAGAAGTCGCCTGGAGGTTTCTGGGAAGGAAGTTGGTGCCACCCTTTCCCCTTCTCCCGCCTTGAACATGGGTGGATGTCTGGAGCCATGGCAGCCACTTTGCCATCATGAAGTGGTGAACACAAGAAAAGGCCACAGAAACCAGAGACCAGGCCTTGACTGACATGGCAGAGCCACTGGTACAACGTGAGAAGCCACCGTCTCCTAGAATTGTTTCCACGTGTGAAACACAAAGGGGTTTGCTTAGCCCCTTCAGTTGGGATTTCATTACTTGCAATAGAACATGCTGCTGCTGCCTACGATGGGACATCAGGCCAAGTCAGAAATGCACCCTGGGCCTTAGGGAAGTGGGTTCTGGAGGAAAAACAAGCAGACAGTCCCTTGGCAGAGGCTTTTCAAAGGGGAGGAGGCTCAGGAGGGACTGAGTGTCCCGGAGAAGGAGGCCCAGGAGCCAATCCAAGTCACTCAGGGCCAGAGGAAGAGTCGTCCTGAAGAACTAAGATAGCCGCTCGGGGCCCTCTGTTGAGCCTCCGACATCAAAGCCATGCCCAGGAGAGGGACGGAGGCATCATCAGAGTCTGAATCAGAAATGGGAAGCATGTCAGGATGAAGCCCTCAAGGACCAGGGCCCATGAAAGGCCTCCCAGAACAGCTCACAAGTGGCCTCAGATTAGAGGTTTGGCCACGTGCACCAGACATTCCTGACTTAGACGTTTGTTTGTCTTTCTTATTAAATCCTGAGTGGTGGCGGCTTTCTATGGAGTTGTCAGCAGCCCAGGCTCCTTCTCCCTTGATACTCTGACATCCAGACATCAAGTCAGAGATGTCTGTCACCACAGCTGCATTCCAGCCAGGGGGCATGGGGGGGGGGGGGAGGCAGGCACAGTGCTTTTCCTTAAGGATGTTACCCAGTTCCCCGAATCGCATCTGCTTACCTCCCTTTGGCTAGAAGTTGGTCACATGGCCTAGCTGCAAGGGAGGCTGGGAAGGGCAGCCTTTACCTGGTGGTCATGGGGTCTTATAAAGCCCCTCTTTCCAAAGAGGAAGGGGTGAATGGAATGTGGGGGCAGCTAGCTGTCTCTGCCACTGTATAGGGGACCTGAGGTCCGGAGAGTGTGTCCTGGTCAAGGCGACATAGGGACCAACAGCCCAGGCCAGCTGACAGCACAGCCTGAAACTGCCCCCATGTCCTGCAGTCTGTCCTCACGGCAGAGACCCAACCCCTGGGTGGCCCACCCTCCCCAGTTCAGCAGCGACCTGATCCCAGGGCCCTCGTCAATTTCTTGCTGTCTCTCTCCCTCAGCGCAGGAGGGCAGGACTGTGGGGGGCAGAGGAACTTGCTTTTGGGGCCTTGTGTACCCTTTGACATGACATGGGCAGGCGCAGGGGATGATGGTGCTGAGCTGGTGAGATGAGGCTGAAGCTGGAAAGAGACTCACCAGATGGCCAGAGTCAGGCCTCAGCTCAACTGTCCCCTCCCCTGGGACTCTAAGAGGCCTGCCTTGAGCCCTCTCCCCGGTCCCTTCTAGCCCATCATCTGGTTTTACTTCCTTTTTAGTCATTGTTGCCTCGTGAAATGACCACTTTTGGTTTATTTGCTTCTTGTTTATCATCTGCATCCTCTAACTCAGCCATGAGCCCCACAGGAGCAGGGGCCTGTCTCCCGTCCCCTGGGGGTCCCGTGCATCTGGAACTCTCCCATGAATTCGCATTAAAGGGCTAATCCAATAAGAGGCATGAGTCCACCCTCATTCTGTCCTGTCTCTCTGGTCTCACATACACACTGAGGGGTCAGGGGCTGGTCATTGGGGAACCTTGTGTCACAGGAAGGGGAAGGGATTCTTCTGAAACTGAGATGAAGTTCTAGGGTTGCAAGAAGTCTAGGAGCTTCCCTGATCTTGCTCCCTTGGAGCCAGGAGGTGCCCCCACATGGCCAATGTGAGCTTCCCCCAAAACAGAGCACATGACCAAGGAGGGGTCCCCACTGTGTGATTCTAGTTCTGGCTCCCAACCTACATTATAAGAAGCTCAAGGAGCGTTCTGCCTGGAATCCTGGAACACTCCTACTCACCCTTCAACCCCAGCCAAAATGCCCACTCCTCGGGCCTGTGCCATCACTGAGCCATCGGTCGCCTTCATCCTTTACCCTTTGCTTGGATGCCAGGAGCCTGGATGGAGCTTCCTTAGCCTCCATTCAGTCCCAAATCTCGTCAACAGTCCATGGGATCCTGGAGTGCCTCTGGGACGACCGCCACCCACCAGCTCTGGCCACCCACGCCCCCTGCCTGGGGAGCAGGGCCTGTACCTGCTTGTTCAGGAACAAGTCCCTTCCCAGGAGGCAGTCCTCCCTGCTCAGCAGGACCCCGTCCCGGGTCTGCGGTTCTCTCCGGCAGCAGGCCTCGGGTACCTCGTCGCTGTCCAAAGTCAGGAGTCGGAAAATGGATGCCAACTTGAAGTCTTCAGGCCCGTTGACCCCGCAGCAACCAAACTGGGAGGAGAGCACAGGAAGGGTCTGTGGGTGGGAGCGGGCCTGACGGGGACAGACAGCCTCTCCAAAGGCCAGTGAGGAAGCGGCTGGCTCCACCCGCTCCGCCTGGGGGACCTGGGAACGTCCCTCAGCCTCTCTGAGCCTCCAGTGTCCCCATCTGTAAATGGGGGGGGGATGGTAACAACCCCCACCTCACCAGGCGCCTAGTCAGCGCTCAGTAAACAGTCACTGTGATGACTATCGTTGATGACAATGACAGCTGCTTGGGGATTCCAGTCAGAGATGGCAAACAGGTCTCACTCAGAGTGTGGACTGTGATTGAGGGAGTAGTTGCTGGGAATGCCGTGTGGACCAACTCCGAGGTGGGCCTTGGCGGGTTGGCGAGGCCGTGCCCCGGTTGATCATTGGCACGAGCAATGGGATCTCTGGTGGCCAGACATTTGCAACACTGGGCCCTGCGGCTCTGAAAGCTCATAGCGCCCAGGGTGTGTAGGGGGGTCACTCACTGTGATCATGACCGAGTTCCAGGTGGCAGAGAAGACGTCTGTGTCGTTGTTGCCCTGATAATGCTTGGTGAGCTCCTTGGTGAAGAATTCCCGGGTGAGCTGGAGGCAGAGGGAGAGGGTGGGCTGAGACCCCACCTGGCAGCTTGGTGCTGCCCCACCCCTCCCGGCCTCTCCATCTGTCAGCTTTGGGGGAAGGGAGGGAAGCCAGGGCCCTGGTGCCAGGCTCCTGGCATTCCCCTAAGCTTGGGACGAGTCCCTTAACCCCCACCTCAAGGCCCGTGGCCTCCAGCCATCATGGGATCACTCACATGAAACGTCTACACGCATCCCTCGGCGACCCCGAGGCCAGGGCACCCGGGGACCTCACTCTGCCCTGCAGCTCGTCTCAGAGGGGGCTTGCCTCACCCACCCTCCACCCTGAGCTGTTCCTCAGAGCTAAGCGGATGCCCTGGGCCCAGGCCCTGAAGAAACCACAGTGTGGAGCAGGGAGCCTTTGCACATCTAGTTTCCAGAGATGTCCTTGGAAGCCGCTCCTTCCCTCAGAATACTCTCCAGAGGTCTAACCGAGAGGGAGGCCCGCTGGGCACTGTTCTGGGGATAGGCTGCTGCCTCCTCCCCTCTGGGGACAGCTCACCTGCTCACCACCCAGGGCCAGCTCGGGTCTCCTGCCCCCTCCCCTACCCCTCCTCTCCTCCCCTCTTCTCTTTGCTTCCAGGCCACCTGTGGTTGGAGCCTGGCTCTTGTGGACTCAGGAGGGAGCTGGTGTCCGGGTGCTGGAGCCCCTGGAATAAGATGGCCTGTGGGGCAGGTGGCCCAAACTGGGGACCGGCCAGGGCCTCAGCTGATGGTGCTCGGCCCCTTCTGTGCATCACACATTCCCAGGCTCAGGGGACAGCCTCCCTGACTGTCCCCACGTGGTCACATGACGACTGCTGTGCCATCACCTGGCAAGGTGTGGATGGAAGATTCCAGAATCAGGTGTGTGATTGCACTAGATGTTTTCGGAAGAGCAAGACCCTTAAGGGCCCCTGACGCTAACCTTCTGGAAAAGCCCTCGTAAGGAAGAGGCTGGCGGGGTCACCATTTGGGCTGAAAGTGCTGGGTGAGAGGCTGATGTCTCTGTGTGTCCCTCAGGACGGGACGGGCTGGCCGTGATGGCCTCCGACCCTGGCTGGTGGCAGGGAGCCAGGGCGTGGGGCCCGGTACGTACATTTTCCCTGAAGATAAAGGCCAGGATGGCCGCCGAGAGCTCCGCCAGGAAGATGATCAGGATGAACAAGAAGAACTGCAACGAGAAGGAGAGGCTCGTGAACACTGAGGGCGGGCGGCCCGGGGACCCCGCCCACCGAAGCCCCCTTCCACCTGCTCCACAGCTGGCGCAATGCACTGATTCTGTAAAACAAGGAACTTCACTGCCATTAAGCAGACATTTTTCATAATAAACACACCGCCCTTTGGAGTCAACAAGGCTGTAATGCAAATAATGGAAAAAGTAAACAGACAGACAAGCCTTCCGTGCACACGGCCCCCCCGAGCTGAGGCCCCTGCCCAGGGGTCAGTCTGGACAACCTGCCTGGCAGCCCTGGCAGGAAGCGGAAGCTGAGTTCCAGGCTCAGGAAACCCTGGCGTCCCCACCCCCAGCCCCAGCCTCATTCCCACGAGCCAGGAGTTTGAAAACTAACAGAACCCACTCCACTCACTGTATTCCCTGATGCGCCCCAAGTCAACCAGGAGGCCTCTGTCTCGGGGTCCCCTCTGCCAGGAAGGCACGTCCTCCCTCAGTCACCAGCTCCTCGTTTTCCAGCCCAGGCGCTCTCCTGCGGCTCCTGCCCCCCGCCCCCCATCACAGTGCCCCACAGAGATGTCCCCATGGCAGCTGCTGTGTCCCCACTGGGCCCCCAATTAAGCACAGAGGCTGTAGCTCAGCACGCTCTCCCCAGGCCCGGACAGCACAGACACCGGTTCGTGGCTATCAGATGAAGGAATGAAGCCAGGAGTGACCGGCTCGCCATCATGACTTTGCTGTCCACCACCTCTCAGGCCCTGGCCATCCTGGGCAGAGTTTTGGGCTGAGAGCTGTTAGCAGAAGAAAGGACACGGTGGGCCTTCATCATCTGATAAATGGGAAGCTAAGGGACTGGTGTCGATCCACGAGGGACCCTGCAGGCCGTGGGAAAGTCTTAAGCCCTGGTGCCGCTGGCATACGTGGTCTGTGACCATCCCAGAGTTGTCACCCCACCTGCGGCCACCAGCAGAGGACTGAGTCCCCGGTGCACAGCCAGCTGCCCCGAGACCTGCTCCCGTGGGTCAGGGTCCCCGAGCTGCCAGGCCACACTGGATGTGCCCAGGCTGGAAGGACGCAAAGGGTCCTGGGCTTAGTGTCCGGACGCCTCTGCCCGCCCTGCCGTGCTTTGTGTGACTTGGGACAATCACTCAAACCATCTTCCAGCCTCAGCTTCCTTGTCAGTGAAATGAGGGTGTGACACCCACTTTGGGGCTCACCTGGGAACAACGAAGTGATGGATGTGAAGTGTTGTTATGTCATAAGAGAGGCGGAGCCAAGCTTGTCGCCCAGGCTCTCACAGGAGCGGAGGGAAGCTGCTCCACAAGCCCCAGCGCCCAGCTCCAGGGGCACCCAGCTCTGGGGGCACCTAGCTCCGGGGGCACTCAGCTCCAGGGGCACCCAGCTCCAGGGACGCCCAGCTCCGGGGACGCTCAGCACTTCTTTCCTCTGACACTCGCATGGGCCACTGGAACGCTCTCAGTGTCTCTCTCCTGGATTGTGTTCCTTTGGACAGAAGCAGCTTTCTGCCACCGTATCCTCATTCTGGGAAGACCCATCACGTCCCCTCCCTGGCTTTTCAGCTTGGACAGGCTGCCCCATGAAGGTCCTGAGGCTCCTCCAAATTGCTTGGGCTTCATACCACCTTTGGGGAGCCACTGGGATGGATTGCAAAATGACTTACTGAGGACGTGGCCGTGAACACATCCCCTTGACCCGTCAGACAGTTTGGTTCGGTCTCTTTTAAATGTCCACACTCCAGAAGCAGCCCTGGCTCAAACCGACCAGCAGCACCCAGCTCCTCCCACACTGCTGTCTTTGGCGGCAGGAGTCTCGCCAGTTTTAAGCTGCCTCCAGCCCGGGCTCTATCCCTTCTCTTTCCTGGTTAGCCCCCCACTTCCCCAGTGGAGAAAACAAGCCAGGGAAGGGAACGACTGCTCCGAGGTGAGCAGCTCAAACATTTCAGAGCAAATCCCTCGTCTTAACCCGGCTCGTTTCCAGTGCCACGCTACCTCGCCTCGCTGCTGAGCCCTGGGGGTCTGCTCCCCACGGGTCAGCCTTGCTGGGGTCAGCTCTGTGGGTGACCCTGGGCTGAGCTGGGGGGTGGGCAGAGATCCCCCACCCTGTGACAGAGGGCCTCCTTGCCCCTGGCCACAGCACCTGCAGTCCATTCCAGCACCCCCGGCCCTGCCCCCACGCACTGGCTGGCCCTCGGGCTGAGCGAAGTGATGTGTTCTCCGCTTCTGTGGCCTCTCTTCCCCCGACAGTGACGGAGGCCGCTGGCAGGGCTCCTGGCATTTCCATTTCGCTGGTGATGGATGGTCATCCGGTGGTTTCCCGCAGCCTCCAGGGGAGCCCCTCCCTGCCCGTGCCCTCTCGGTTTAGTTGCTGGCAGTCCGCAGGCTGGCAAAGTGTGGCCTCAGAGTGGCTTCCATCATCGGTGACTCAGCTGGCTCTCGCTATCGATTGATCGTCGCGGCTTAGACGGCTATAAACTATGAATGAGACCGAGCTCCAGCCTCGCACTCCGCGAGCGCATGGCTCCGGGAGCGTGTGCTGACCAGGATGACTTTGCACAGCTGCAGCGAGACGAGGCAGGCGAAGCCCGTGCACGAGGCGGGTGGGATGGGAGAGCTGCTCAGCTGGTGGCTCTGCACCGAGAGGAGGAAGCGTGGCCTGCCTGAAGGGAGTGCCGGCACGGTGATCTCTGGAAAGGCAACGCCAGGTACCGCCTGCCGAGCGCTTACTCCCTAGGCCCTGGGGATCGCATGTGGTCACATCACTGAACCCTCTCGGCAGCCTGGAGAGACCGCTGCTGTTATCATCAACAGCCCATTGTACTGACGGGGAAACTGGGACCCCGAGAGGGCAGCAGGCCCAGCAGGTGGGCCGCACACCTGGGGTAAACTTGGGTTTCTGATTCCAGAACACGGCCTCTTAACACCAAGTCATCTAGGAACCTACGAGAGCCTCCAGGGCTTAAGACTTTCCCACGGCCTGCAGGGTCCCTTGTGGATCAACACCAGTCCCTTAGCTTCCCATTTATCACGTGTTTACATGTGCCAGGAACAGAGCAAAGCAAGGGATGGGAAGGAGGTGTTCCTATCTTCATTTTATGTAGAAGAAATCCGAGGTTCAGAGAGGTTCGGTAACCAGCTCAGGTCCCCCAAACAGGAAGTGGCAGAGCAGGGATCGGAGCCAGGCTGTTAGCACATCCCTGGCACAGCCTTCTCTCTGTTCCTTCATTCCAGGGCTGTTTATGCTGGCCAGGCGCTGTGCTAGGTGCTGGCAAACGAACACATACAAGGCAGATACAGTCCTCATCCTGATGGAGTTTACATTGAGCCGAGTTTCCTCATTCAAGAAATGAAGTTCATGAGACGAAATGAAAGAATGAACCTGGTAAATCACTGACAGGGAAAGTGGGCCTCCCCAGGGAAGGGGGTCTGCAGGCCTGCCTGCCATTCTCCCGCCTGGAGCAGGGTTCCCCAAGCATGGGGACCACGGGGTGCCTTGAGTGTGTGGGAGTGCGGGTCACCTGAAGGAAAGTGCCCGGCTGTGCCAACATCGTAACAAGGCCACTCTTCCGCTCGCCTCCTCCAGCCTGAGGCCCTTTCCTCCTGCTCGACAGGGTCACCACTGGTCGCTTGGAGGGGATCCCCCTTGGCCCAGCCACAGGGCTTATCCCGATGCTTCCTGGGGCTTCCCCTATCGGGGCCTTTCCAGGGTTTGTTTGCCGCGGGTTCACCTAACCTCAATCCACCTGCCCACAGACACATTTGCCAGCAATTCCCAGCATCAGATTCACAACACTCTGCCCAGGATGGGAAAACTAACAAAGGGGTGGGAGCTGCTATTTTGCCTCCTGGGGAGCATTTCCAGACTCTTCTAGCCCATCTGCCTACAGGCTCATCTGCTTTCCGTTCTCACTTCTAATAAATATTTACTAAATTTATGTACTTCATGTGCCATTCAGCTCATTTATCTCTTTTAAACACCCGCATCTCTTTTTGCTGTTCTCTTTTCCCATTTAGCATGACTTCGTTATAAAAGGTTTTTTTAAAAAAAAAAATCTGCATCAAATAAATGGGCCAAAAAAATTCCTTGAAACTATTCAAAGGTAAGCAACCAGGAAAAAGGGATGCCACAAGAATAGGCTGAAACGGGCCTGCTGTATGTGAAAATGCTGTAAGACTGATCAGCAGGAGTGTCTGAAAAATGTACCTTTAGAAAAACTCACCATTAGGTGATGTGGTCATTGGGTGCCTTGGCCCTGGGCTCAGCGTCCCTGGGACCCTGTGTTCCAGCCTCAGAGCAGGGGCGGGGTGCTCAGCTAAGCCCCATCCCCCATCCCTTTTCCTGCAGGCCTTTGAGCCTGGGTTCTGGAGGAGCCTCGAAGCTCCTTCTTGGCCCCTCCTAGCAGCCTGACGGAGGGGTCTCAGGCTTCCCTAAGGGGTGGACCTCCACATGGACAGGTCCAGGTTAAAAGAGGAAGTGGTCCTTCTTAGTTTTTAGATCATGAGTCTTTTTGAAAACCTTCTAGAAGCTGTGGTGTTTCTCCCCAGAGCATGCATGTGCACACCATACACACACACACATACACACACACATGCACAGGTACACACACGCAGGTCCTGACATAATATTTTACACATAATTTCAGGTGAGTTTTTAACCACTTGAGTCCATGCCAAGGTAGGAGCCCCTCAGCCCTGGTCTGAGAGAAGGAGACCTGGGCCCAAGGGTCCCCTCCTTTGACCTGCACTGTGACCTCCAGCTTGTGTGTGCTGGGCATCAGAAGGGGGCAAGGAGAAGAGGGGGTGGGAGGGGGAGAGAGGAGAGGAGTAAAGAGAAAGGGGGAGGGAGACAGGACGGAGGCAAGGAGCACTCAGGAGAGGGGTAGGAAAGGCAGCAGGAACAGAAACCAAGAGATGAAGAGAAGGCAGAGGCAGAGAGAGAGAGGGAGAGAGAGAGAGAGAGAGAGAGAGAGAGAGAGAGAGAGAGAGAGAGAGAGATGGAGAAAGAGGGAGCAGCAGAGATGAGACTAAAGAGAGACAAAAGGGAGGAATAAAGGCAATAAAGAAAGGAGTGGGAAGGGGCTACTGTGAGGGTCGGTGGGCTGGACCCAGACATGCCAGGACTTCATTCTCGCTCGGAGCAAACCTCCTCCTGGGCCTCGGTCTCCTAAGCACTGAGGAGAGGGCCTGTCCAGACCGCAGGCTCAGAGGGAGCCACTTAGCTCGCTGCCTCCCCAGCCCCGAGCCCAGCCCCTTCCTGGCTTGGCTTCAGAGATGTGCCCTGGGGGCCGAGGTGTAGGGGGACTGGAGGGGCGGTTCAGTGTGTCCGGGACCCATACCCAGCTCCCTTTAAAGTGCTGGGGGCTCCCCAAGCCCAGATTTCCCCTGCACCATCTGACACTGCAGAGAGTTTCCCACCAGGGGGCGCCCACGGGCTTCTTGGTTTCTCTCCCAGTGAAAAGTTTGCAGTGTGTATGTGACTGAAGGCCACAGGGACCCAAGGCTTCAGTGTCACACATTTCACGGCGGATTTCACTTGGTCTCCGAGACGTGGGGCATCTCACTGGGACAGTGGGGGCCGTGGAGTGTGTCCTAATCTGGGGAGGAGGCACTGGGCCAGGTCTCTGCCTCTCAGAGCGCCGGCAGGAACAGCCAGAGCCTTGCAAGGACGTCCTCCTGATGACCAGCCCAGACCTTCCTACGGCTTCACTCCCACCACCCACTCGCCATCCACACACACACTTCTCTACGCAGGGCTGCTTTAAACTGAACCCATAGCAGGGCTGGGCTCCACCCACAAGTTCTCTTCGCCCTGGGGGCTCACAGGACCCCGCAGGGGGAGAGGACCCACCCGCCAAGGCCAGGAAGGTGAGCAGAAGCCCAAAGAACCACAGCTCACAGGACTTCCACAGACAGAGAAACAACACCTTCCCCCTTCTCTCGTGAGCTGGTCGGCTCCTTGCTTACTTAACAAGCAAAGCCACTGAGACTCAGAGAGGTCAAGAAACTAGACGAGAGTCACATCATTAGTTAGGGGACAGAGCAGGGCGCACACTCCAGTGAGGTCTGCCTGCTGCCCAGCCCGTCCTTATGGGATCCACACCTCCCCCTGTCCATGAGGGAGGGACAGCCACTCTTGGCCCCGATGCATCGTCAGCACCTAGTGAACTATGTGGCCCATAGGAGCCGTCCAAGGACTATTTATTTAATAAGAAAAGTACCTTCAGAGGTCCTATCATTTCTATTTTGGAACTGGAAATGCAAACGGCGATTTATCCAATAGCTGTCTTAGCTCTTGTACCAAGGACGAAATTATCTACTGGAGTTCTTAAAAGCAAGCAAGTAGATAAGCATCGTGGCCAACATTCTCCATTGACAATGCCAAGGAGGAGGCTGGCTGTTTGGACCTGGAGGCTGAGGCCACTCTTCACGTGGGGGCAGCTTGCCCACATGGCCCGCCTGGCCGAGCACAGAGCAAGCTCTGGAAGCTGGGGCTGCAAGGCCCCATGGGAAAGGCTGGCGGCGCCCCCACTCCAGGAGGATGGCCTGCTTGGCCCAGACCTCGGTGCAAGTCCCTGCAGGGTAGGCACCGGGCCCCTATGGGGGGCGGGGATGGCAGTACTCACAAACAGCAGCAGACACTTGTTCTCCCGGATGGCCCCGCAGCAGCCCAGGAAGCCGAGCAGGAAAAGCAGGCCCCCCATGGCCAGGAGGATGTAGACGCCCGTGATGAGCAAGGGGTTGGCAGCCACGATCTCTCGGAAGCCAGTGGGGTCCACCATGACCCAGATGCCGATGCCCAGCAGACAGGCCCCACCCAGCTGCTCGCGGGTCAGTCAGGAGGGAGGGGAAGAAACAGAAGAACGGAGTTAGGTATTAGATACCCCCCACACACCTTCCTGAGCGAGGCCCGGCGGAGGCGGTGGGCCCTGGTAAGCCGGGCGGGAACTCCATTTGCTGCAGGAGCCGGAGTCCCAGCACCGCTGGTCACTGCTCCGAGTCTTCCTACTTACTCTGACCTGGTCTCAACCCAACCTCTGTCCCAGCCCCCCCTCGGCCTGCTGAGAACCATGTATGTGGAGTTCATTTGCTCCTTTTATTTTTTATTTTTATTTAAATATATTTTATTGATTTTTTACAGAGAGGAAGGGAGAGGGACAGAGAGTTAGAAACATTGATGAGAGAGAAACATTGATCAGCTGCCTCCTGCACACCCCCCACTGGGGATGTGCCCACAACCCAGGTACATGCCCTTGACCGGAATCGAACCCGGGACCTTTCAGTCCGCAGGCCGACACTCTATCCACTGAGCCAAACCGGTTAGGGCTATTTGCTACTTTTAAATTCCCCTTAAATGTCAGAGCTGCAGGGTGAGGAGGTCACCTAGTCCAACCCTCAGATTCCACACTGAGCCCCAGAGGGGGCCAGCGACTTGCTGAAGGTCACACACAATTTCGAGGCAGGACCCTGGCCTCCCTGACTCCAGCCCCAAGGACACTCACCAAACTCCCGGAACATGCACTACACCTACACTGTGCCTGCACCCTGCCAGGGACAGGAAAACAGACAGAAGCCATCCCTTCTGTCCCCAACAGGAGCTCAGGCTGGGCTCCCCACTCTCAAATCTGCACCTGGAAAGCCTTCGTGTCTATGTCTTCATCTGCATGGACCATCTCTCCATGCCTTACTCATCTTTGGAGAGAGGCAGCATAGATCAGAGAAAGAGCTGTGGTACTTCTTAGCTGTGTGACCTTGGGTAAGTGGCTTAACCTCTCTGAACTTCAGCTTCCTCATGGTTTAAAAAAAAAGATAGTCACTCCCATCTCCCAAGGAAGAAAGGACAGAATGGATGTGAATGTACTTAGCAGGTTTCAATAAATATCCATTCCATTTGTCCTGGGCACAGAATATTGGAAACAGATCAGTTGCAGGAGAGCCAGTTTGGCATTGTTGAATTTTAAAGGCTGTGAAGTGTCTGAAATCCCTGTGTGGTGCGGGGGCCTGAAGAATGAATGACAGATGGTGGGAGGAGCAAACTGCCAAGCTCTGGCTTGGCTGAGCGGGGTCTGCAAGCTGCGGGGAAGCGCTGCACCATTTGGGGCAAGAGATGATATTTTAGGTACAGTTAGGGCAGGAGTGGGGTGGAGAGGCTGGAGGCACCCGGCAGCGGGAAGAGAGAGGAAGGGAAAACCGACAATTTTGCCTCTGTCATTGGTCCTGACCAGCCTCCAGTGTGACCTGCGTCCCTCCTCATGGCTGGTGGAGGGTTGGGGTCTGCCACCTGTGTGCTGAGGTCGGCTGCAAGGAGGGCTTGAGCAGACTGAGCTGCCCAGCCGACTCCGCCCACTTCAGCTGGAGACACTGGGGCTGGCCGGGGGTCACCCAGCTTAGAAACTGGGTCTAGAATTCAAGTCTGTCGGGCTTCCTGCTCTTCAGAATTATGGGGCAGGGGAGGGAATCCAGGACAGTTGCTGAGATGAATAAAAAAATGGATGGAGAGACAGACACAGTCAGCCTTACCAAAAAGGGGCCTCTTTTTCATAGTGGCCCTCCCCTGGAGGACACTGGTGGACATTTAATCATCGAGGTCTTGGCTGCACTAAGATCAAAGGTTCAGGTGGGTCAGGAAAGCCTGCAGGGGCTCAGGACGCCAGGAGCATGGCTCTCTCCTGGGCAAGGCCACGGACCAGAGCAGAGCCTTGGTGGCTGCCGGCAGATGGGCAGTGCTGCCGGCCACCTGAGCACTCTGGGCTCTGTCCATCATAGGTGGGAGGGGATGGGGCTCAGCTACTGAGTGCTGACGCAAGGCAGGCACTTCCTCATCTTGCTTAATTTTTTTAAAAGACCTGTTGAGGTAGGTAATGAAGGGATGAAGATACTGAGGTTCAGAGAGGTGAAGTGTGTTTCAAATCGCATAGCTGATAAGATGCTAGGCTTGGCTTTGAATCTAGGTCTCTCAGTTCTAGAGAAGTTTCTAAATCCATCAGGTTCCCCTCCAGCTGGCATCTGTAAGGCTCTGGGGGTTGGGGCTAGGTGGGGCTCCCTCTGCTGTCCTCTGATCACCCCATCTCCTCCTTTCCCCAAACCCACCCGGGGTCAGATCCCAAGACAGTGGCCAGGACTGAGGCCCGCACTCTTTGTCGGAGGAGCTGGACCATCCCGGGCCCAGGAAAAATGTCCCTCCTAGAACGGCGGGGGAGGGGGGTGGGCACCGCCGGGGCCTCCCATCCAGGAAACCCTGGCCCCTGTGCCCGCCCTGGGACTCAGCCCATTGTGACTATTTCCAGCAGCAGTCGGTTCTACCCACTCAGCTGAGACCTAGGGCGACCCCAGGCATGCTCCAGGAATACTTACAAATATGAAGAAATTGAAAACAAACATCAGGTACTTCATGCAGCTCAGACAGTCACCTTCCATGGCTCCACCTGCAAAACAGCAAGGCTCCTCAGGCTTCCCCTGGTGGCCCTGTCCCTTCCTTCCTCCCGCTGCCCAGCCACCAGGCGGCTCCTCTACCTGCCCTTCCAGACCCCATCCGACTGCATTAGCGGTTGTTCCCTGTCAGGAGAGGTAAGGACTCTGACGTGGAGAATTTCTGAGCAGGGGAGATGAGTGTGTGCAGTGGTTCTCAAACTGGGTTCCCTGCCACTAACCATATCCTACAGCTATTTTCAGGACATCCAATAACATCTCAGAAATCAACCCCTCACCACTGGCCAGGCACGTGTCTTGGGTTTTAGAGCAAGTAAACCACCCTAGGGTGGGGGACCCTGTTTCTTGGGTTATTCAGAAGCTCTGGCCACTAGGTATGTAGGACTTTGCAGTCCAAACACGAAGGTGGAACTTTAACATGTACTTAACCAATGACCTAGTGACGGCAACCCTGTTTGGTAGATAAAATCCTTGAAGTGTTGGGGCTCAGAGGGATGAAATGTGGGAGTCAGCATCACAGGCGAACTTGACTTCGTGTGAATTCAATGTCCCACGTGCACTGGGAAAGCGAGCAGGAGAGCAGCTTAGGTGCTGAGTTCTGGGGCATCTGCCCCCGGGGAGCACCGGGGAGAGCCCTGGGCCTGCTGCCTTGGGTCTCGTGGTCTCAAGGCACCTGTGCCTGCCACCGTGTCCCCGCACCTGGCCGAGTGAGGGTCCCGGGCTTACAGATGGGTGTTCTTTCCCTCGGATGCAGCTGATTGTTTCTTGTATAACAAAACCAGGTGTTTAAGAGCTTTGAGGGGACTTAAGGGGAGCTTTCCTTTGACACCGCTGTTTGTGTAAGTGCTGGTTCGAGCTTAGCCCTTGTATAACTTGTGTCACCAGCATTTTGGTGAAAGAAGTTCTTGGTCATAAAAAGTCAGGGCGGCGCCGATCTGTCCAAACACCCTCATGTTGGAAATGAGGAAACTGAGGCTGAGAAAGGGAAAGGGGGTTTGGCCAAGTTCCCAAACCAACTAGTGGATGATCTGAAACTGAAGCCCAACCAGTGCCCATGGATACGCTACTTATCGAAGTTCTACTCATTGATTCTGGTAGCACACATCTCCCGCTGTTAGAATGTACACTTCCTAAAGGCATGGACCTGTTTACCGCCACCTTCCTAGTGCCTCGAGCCGCGCCTGGCACATGGCAGGTCCCCAGTTAATATGTCTGAATGAATGAATGGTGGGAAGAGAAAACAGATAGAGGACAATGGTCAGCAAATCAGAGAAATAGATAAAGATGAGTCAGAAAGAGAGAGAAAGACGGAGAAAGAGCGAGAGAGCAAGAAGTGATGCAGGAAGAGACAGACGGACAGAAAGAATTGAGGGAGGGGGGGAGGGGCACAGAGTGAGGAGGAGGCAGCTGCTGACTTGTCACCTGGGCAGTGCTTTCGGCGTCAGCAGGACAGTCTCCTGGTCAGAGGGGCTGCTGTATAATTCTGTTATTGGCCCGGCTTGTCCTATAAGAGAAAATATTCCATTACTATAGGAAGTCATTAAGGCACAGCCATGTTCAAGAAGCCGTTTATGAAAACCCGCCCTCCGGACACACACTCAGGCAAGTGCCTCGCTCATCTAGGCCCATTAGGGCTAATGAAAAGCCCTCAGCACCTGGGCCCCTCCAGCTGCAGAGGCCGGCAGGGATGCCCGCCTTCTGCCCAGATGGCAGCTCTAGGTGTCCCCGCTGGGGCTGCGTGGGGAACATCTTCAAAAGACTTGCAATTTCTGGCCCGGCTTCAGCTACGCTGCCACACTGCATGTGGCTGATGAGCTGGGAGGAGACAATGGGCATGGGTGGCCCATGTACCTGGCTGCCACCTGGCTGCTACCTAGCCATCTGCAATGATACCTCAGTAGAGCGTGCCAGCGGGGCCCTGTTCATCAAAACCCCTCCCCAGGTTCCCCATCTCCCCTGAGAGAGAAATCTGGTGTTGGAAAGGGTTCCGTAGCTTTGCACAAGGACTTGCCGGAAGGGTCCTACAGAGTATCAGCTCCCGGCAGTGGAAATGAAGGTCTGGTTTCAGCAGTCAAATGTGCCCAGGTGGAAAGGCCAGTTCTACCAGACTCGTGGGGAATTCCACAGCCGGGTCCTACTCAGACACTGGGCTAGAGGACAAGTTTCAGGGGAGATCTGAGGCCCGGGAGCTTGGGCTGCCGTGCCTCCCCACGGGGAGGACGGGGGAGACGGGGAGGATTTCTGGGTCTCAGGTGCCCGTTCAGATTCCTTCTTCCCATTCAGGTGGGTCCATGCTCACTCCACCGCCACTTCTTCTGCACAGCCTGGCACACCTGGGCCAGCTCCCTGAGACCGTTACAAAGTCACTTCCCTCCCGGAGTTGTTAAATTCTCCTCTGAACACGGAGATTCTCCATTTTGAAGCCAAAGGTGGTTGTAGGAATTCATGGTATGAGACATAAAATGAACCGATGTAATATGAAAACACTTGGAAACCAGGAAAGCACAGTTGCCGGGGGCAGCATCATCACAGATGGGAAATAAGTGGATGCTCGAACCACATCCACCAGTTACCCATGGAGGTGAGCGTGGGAGAGGACCATGGACATATGGCTGACTCAGGATGGGTAAAAACACCTTTCCCCTAAGGCCCCAAATTCAAATTAATGTTTACAGTGTTGTGATAACTGAACCTAGTGGTAACTAATAGTATTGAGCAGTTACCATGTACCAGACTACGCTAAGCATTTCTCCTTCTTCTCTTGTTTCATCCTCACCGAGGAAGTGGGTGCATTATGTCATTTACAGATGAGGAAACTGAGGCTCAGAGAATGTAATTAACTGGCCTGACTTTATTCACGTGATTAGTAAGACATGGCCATGATTCAGGCCCAAGTGTGCTGGACTCCAAACCAGAGCTCCTGACAAAACACCAGTCCATGGACCTGGTACCAGAGAGAGGACACCAGGAAGAGCAAGCGCTATGCCTCGGTCCCCAAGTCTCCAACCAGTGCTGCTCTGCCCTGAATCAGGCAACAAGGCAGAATCCCAGGGACCAGCTAGCATCCCTCCTGTGCCAGCTAGAGGCCTCTGGGGGGGAAACCCGAAACTGCCATCCCTTGACAGATGGGGGCCCTGAGGCCCAGAGAGGGGCAGAGACGGGGCGAGGTCACGCAGCGCCTCAGGGGTCTCCTCTGCAGGCCCCTGCCAAGGCCAGACAGCTTTATTAATGTTGCCCCTCCCACTGCCCCAGATGGCGCCTCAGTCCCATCTGCACAGAGCGGGGTTCTCTGATTAAGAAGGACAGCTCAGTTCATAAATCACTCCTTTTACTTTCACTGCCCCCTGCCCCCAGGCATGCTCTCTGGAGAGAGAGAAAAAAAGACAAGTGGACATCAGCGATGGAGAAGCCCCCACCAGAGGAAGCAAATGTAAGTCTGGGCTGCTGGAGAGTGAGAAACGTCCTGTACGCGCCCCTGCCAGGTGAGGGCGCTGTGGTGCAGGAGCGGCCTCACACCCAAACCCTGGGTTCCAACCAGCAGGGTCTCTGCCCTGACAAGCTGAGACCTGGGCCACCCTCCTCAACACCTTGAGCCTGTTTCCTCATCTGTGCCATGGGGTTTCTCAGTCTAACTCCCAGGGTCCTTGAGAGAAGTGAAGGAGATGATGTCGGTGAAAGCACTTTAGCGGCTGCACATCCAGTTCCTTCCTTCCTGTGTGTGCCAGACACCTACTAATGCCAGCCCTGGGCTGGATCCAAGGCACGGAGACCAAGGACTTGCTCAAGTCTAGTGAGAAGCAACAACCCGGTAGTTGGGGAGGAGTGTTTACAGCCATCAACCTAGCGCTCTGGGCATGCCCAGCAGGAGAGAGAAAGGGCTGGAGGGGATCCTAGAAGCTGGGGAGGCCCGTGTGTGGGGAGGACAGGGAGGACCAACATTCATTGGGCTCAATGAGAGTATACTGTGCCAGGGGCCATTACCAACAACTATCTTTCTTGAAAAAACTGCAAAATAGATATTATCATCATTCCCTTTTTCAGAAAAGGGAAGAAACCCTCCAACAGGCCAGACAAGTCTCAGAGCCAGAACTGACACCAGGTTTTCAGAGCCACGCTCTCCTTCATCCGGATGGAGGAGGCTGGTCAGAATAACAATGATGCTAGCCGTCAGGTTCAAAGCTGAGGGGGGAGGACTTATTTGCGCTCTGGCTGCGCCTGCTGGGCCTCATCCCGGAGACAGACGGTCTGATAAACAAGCAATTGGCCCTAAATCCTGGAGTGCCTGGCAATGGCACGGACATGGGGACATGGACACAGCTGAGTGGGGGATAAAATCTAATTAGGCTCCTGGGAGTGGTGCCTTGAGGGTTAACGGTACCAGGCAACCTGCCTTGGATGCAATGGGATCCCAAATGACAGCTCCCTCAGACCCACTGAATCGTGAATGTCCAGGGGGCAAAGCATAGAGCATCCAGGGCATCTGGGAAGGACATGTCTAGGAGTTGAGGCAGTACTTGGGCGCTCAGTCCTTGCCACAAGCCCTTTCCTCTGTCCCACCCAGAACTTGCACAAGCTGTTTCCATCAGAGAATCTCCAAAGAAGGAAGCGCCTTAGTGAGGGGTAACTCGGAAGCCGGCTTTTCACACTGGGGATGCCGAGGCCCAGAGCGTGGCAGGGTCTTGCCTAAAGTCACAGCAGGGCTGGAACCGGGAGCTGCTGATTTTAAGCCTGCTGCTTTCCCCCGACGCAGCCAGCCACCTAAGACTGACATCTTACCTTATCGTGACTTCCAGAGCACTTTTCCTATATTACCTCACCGAATCGCCCCAACTGCCCCAGGAGATGGGCACGCCTGCTTTATAAGTGAGGAAACGGAGGCTCAGAGGTGCGAAATCACTGGCCCAGAGTATCACAGGAGGCCGGAGAAATTGCTGGGACAAAGCAGGATTCCTCACCCTTCCCTGGCTGTCCTCCAAAGGTGTGGCCTCCGGGACTTGGGCCTGCTGATCCCCAGAGTGACCACGGTCCAGGGCTCCCATCCACCCACATGGACCTGGGCTTGACTCAAGCCACAGGGAGTGCTCATCCCAGACCCAGGCAGTGAGTCTGTGTTCCTGCCTTTGAATCCAGACGGCCCTATTGCAAAGGCCTCTGGGAACGAAGCTTCTGCTTCCTCTTGCAGAGACTTTTACTTGCCACGGTCCGGGCGCTGAAGGCAAGGCAACCTGGCCAATCTGAACTTGGTCATGAGCAAGAGCGGTGGAGGGCACTCTGTGTGTCGGGAGCAGAATTTGGCCTCAGAACATGAATCCAAGTTCAGGGTGGTGCCCACCAGCGAAATGTAGCTGAGGCAGCATGAGGGACTGAGTTGCCAGGCTGGGAGGGACAAAGGAGGGCGGAGGGAGGAGGGAGGACACCCGCCTCCTGAGGCAGATCCTGCCCTGTCCTTCGCCTCTGCTGAGCCCTCCAGGGAAGTTTCCCTGGTGATCTGGGGAAAGGCAGGTGTCAGAAGACACAAGCACACATTCCCAGGGCCCAGGGAGGACAGGTGCAGTCGGGCACACTCGGGCACACTTGGGTTCTGAGTGATGGCATGGGCATCGAGGAAACGGGAAAGGAGGCCAGCTCAGACTCCCAGGACTGTGCCCTCTCAATGTGTCATTGCTGTCAGACCTTCCCCACCAGACAGAAGCCTTCCATGGCCGGCACAGTGCTCCCACTTCCTGAGTGCCCTCAGGACACAAGGAGGTACTGGAACATTAGCAATATAATAGCTGCTCCTGCTTCACGTGTGCCAGGAGCCATGCTGAGCAGGGTTCCAGTATCATCTACACAGGGCGAGTTATCCTCGAGTTACTGAGGCCCAGAGGACGTGAGTGAGCGCCCCATGCTGGCCCAGCTGGGAAGGGGCAGGACTGGGAGTCAGACCCCAGACGGCACACTGCTGCTAAGTGCTAGGAACCCTGCTGGTGGATGGGCTAACAGACAACATGCTCACAGCAAAAACAAGTGGTAAAGAGAGGGGACTGGCTGACACAAGTCCTGGGTTCGAGTCCAGATTCTGAAAACTGGACAAAGCCTGTCCTCTCTCTGACCTTCGAGTCCTGTGGCTGTGTCCCATGGACAACCGCATCTCTATGCCTCGAATGAGGAGCATGAACCTCAGCCTCCCCTCCTAGCAAGCAAGCATGGTCTCCAAGCCCACATTGCATCCCCCCTCAGGGCCTGGAGCGGCAAGAGACCCTTTGAAAAACTTGGTAATCCAGCCCAAAATATACAGGGCTGTTGCTAGAGCAACCTGGCTGCTACACAGCCTGGATTTAAACATTGAATGGCTTCACGGGCATGAAGGGGGCCTGGGAACTAGGTGGGAAAGGGCACAGGTCTGAGCAGGGGTGAGGGGGCCAGGGCAGCCCCTCCCCCATGCCCATCCTGCAGAGAAGGGGGCCAAGGCTCCTGGCCTGTTGCTGTACTTACCCTGTCAGATCAGATCACACAGGGGAA